CACTCTCCTGGGGTAGGGAGGTAAGGTATTACTTGCTCCATTTGGCAGGTAAGGAAATTGTGGCACAGACCTATTCTGGAAGGGTGCTGAGGTTATCTCTATAATTCTATAAGGTTTTTTTTGTCTCATTGTTTTCTTATGACATCTCAGATGGGTGGATAGTGCTGGTTGTTTAAGAGAAATGTGAGGATGAAAGAGACAGCAGTTTTGGGAATAAATCCTCTTTTCCTCTGTAACTGGCCAGCCCACAGCATGAAATCAGTATCCCTCACCTCTCCCCACTCCTGAGATTTCATCATGCCCCACATCCCATAAATGAAGGCAACTGTTCTCTCAGAAGTAATCACAGACAAACACACCTTGCCATGTTAGAAAGTAGTCTATCTTTGTTCACAACTGGTATTTCAACTTTAAACATTTCAGCCTACAGGCAAAATACAACCTAATGCAACAAAACCCAGTTCAAATACAGGAGGTAATAGTGGGTCCCAATCGCTAAACAGAAAGTGACATGTACTATCAGCTGCAATTGCCTTATGAGGTGGCTTTGATTGACTTGATTTATGAGAAGGGAGGAGTGTTTGTTGAAATGACTGTCAAAATAAAATATACTGTCAATAGGGAAAAAATAAACCAAGCCTAATTTGCATGGGGGTTTCTCAGCAGTTTAGCAGAAACATTCCTTTAACGATGAGAGGGCAGCAATTGGTGAAGATGAGAGCGTAGGTCTGGAACATACCCAGTAGGAGGGGACTCTTCTTTTTCATGTGTCCTAGATTTCTGTGGCCATGGTCTAGCAAAGCCTCTAGGCTCTTTCCCAGAATAATGTTTTTCAATGCATAAAATAAATGCATAGAATTGCAAAGGAAACCAATTTTACTGAAATACAGATAACAAATGTTTAAAAAAAGTTTGTAGACCTGAGGTTAAGAACTCTTGATTGAGATATTAAAACTAAGTTCTTCACTGGGTCAGATCAATGATGCAATTAGCCCTGTGCTTCTGCCTCTGAATAGTGTGCCAACAGCACACTATTCAATGAGCTAATGTAGTTGGAAAGTAGTTGGGTGCAATGGATAGAGCACTAAGCCTAGATTTAGGAAGATCTGAGTTCAAATCAAGCCTCAAACACTTACTATGTGACCCTGGGCAAGGCACTTAACCCTATTTGCCTTAGTTTCCTCATCTATAAAATGAGCTGGAGAAGGAAATGATAAACCACTCCAGTCTCTTTGCCAAAAACACCCCAAATGGGGTAACGAAGAGTTGGGCATGGGTGAAAAACAACAAAAGTTGTTTTATATGCCGGTGGCATTTCTTTGATTAAGCTACAAACCCCACAAGGCCAACAACAGTATATCTCATTACTTTTAAGAATTCCATATTGTAGACACTTAATGCTCACTGGGTTGTTGGAATGGATTAATAAAAATTAAAAGCTGTCCCCACACCAAGTTACTGCCAATAGTTATTTGTTTCAAAACCCACAAAGCCCCAAACAGTAGTAGCAGGCTCAGTTTCTTATTTAACACTTATTTAATCTTAGATTCCTTGTCCTTTCACTTGTCATGCCTTAGCAAATCCCAATTAAGCCCATCCTTCCTGTTCTCCCCTACTATGCTACTAATTCCATTGGAGGAAGTCATACTGCCATGTTGCTTGGGTCCATAACAGATTCAAGTTATTTAAACTCAATGGGGTCCTCCCTATTATATGGCAGTCCTTTCATACTTCCTCCAGTGGCTCTTCTAAACTCTCTCTTCCCTCCTTACAAGCCCCTTAGACCACTCTCATCCCCCAACTCCACCCTTTCTCCACAGAGGGCTTCTGCAGTTAGAAAATCAAGGCTGTCATGAGCATCCTCTTCCATTCTACTTCAAACCCCAAAGCCCCTGTCCATTGCCCCATAATTCTTCTCTACTACTCTAGTTTCTCAGGGAAAAAGTGGCTTTCTTTCCTGGTGAGGTCAAACCCCCTATTCATGCCCATGATCCCATCCCATCCAAGATAATGACCACTTGATTTCATGCACACATCTCCTTCATCCTTAAAAAACTTGCACTTATCAAATCTGGCCTCAGACAACAACACTCACTAGCTGTGTGACTCTGGGCAAGTCACTTAACCCCATTGCCTAGCAAAAACAAACAAAAAAACTTGTACTTGATCCCTGGCATTCTCTCAGCTGTCGCCCTACATTTCTTTTTCCCTTTCACAGCCAAACTCCTAGGAAAAGTCCAATGCTTCCATTTCCTCACTTTTCAACCCTCTGCAGTCTGGCATGGGACCCTAATCCTCAAATGAACTTACTCTGTCTGAGCTTAAAGTAATATGATTCTTAACTGATAAATCCCCCATGGCCATTTCTTTGTCTTCATGTTATGTGACCTGTCACTTGGTTGAAAACACCTCCAGGCACTTGTATCATTCTTGACTTTTTCCTTTCCTTGCACACCCCCTAGAATCAATCTGTTGCTAAGGGTTGGCAATTCTGCCTCCACAATATCTCCAGCATCCTTTCCCTCCTCTCTACTCATGTGACCACTATTCTAGTTGAGTCCTTCAGCATCTCTCCCCTGGATTATTACAGTAACCTCCTTTTTGGTCTCCCTGCTTTCCAGTCTCTTCCCTTTTCCAGTCTGTGCTCCATATACATCTGCCAAAATATACTTCCTAGTAACAGGTCTAAACACATCCTTCTGCTCAAAATTTTTCATGAACTCTAGTGCCTCTAGGATAAAAGACAAATGCCTCAGCCTGGCTCCAATTTACCTTTCCAGCCTTATTTCACATTATCCCCCCCTCCCCCTTCATGTAGTCTACGTCCCCCACCAACTACACTGCTGGCTGGTCCTCAAATTCCACATCTCACCTCCAGGCTCCATGTTATTGAACAGACTGTTCTGTGTCTGGAATTCACTTCTCAACTCACTTCCTAGAATTTTTAGTCTCTTTCCAGGTTCTGCCTTCTATGAGAAACCTTTTCTGATCCACCAGTTCTCTCCACCTTCAAATTACCTTGCATTTACTTATCTTTGTATGTGTTGTATCTCTCCAGGAGCATATAAGCTCTTTACAAGGGAGAGATGAGGGGGACTGATGACTAACTTATATTTGTGCTTGTATTCCAATTCCCTAGAACAATGCCTTCTACACAGTAGGTAGTTAATACATATTAATGTAAATTAACTTCGTGAATTCTACTTAAGATAACATACTGGTAATATATATACATATATATACACACATATTATATATATAATATACACACACACATATTTTTGCTGAAACTAATATCTTTTAAAATTAAATTTTACTTAAGGATCTCCAAATGTCACACGTTCAGAAAATTTCCATTTATCATAGATAGATTGGTAGTATTGACAGAGGCCAGAAAGTAGTACTATCAACTCCTCATCTGTAAAATGATGATGGATTAGAAACTGGAACACCCCACATGTGACCTCAAGGCCGAAGGTTCCCCACCCCTGGATTAGATAATCTCTAAGGTCCCTTCCAACTCAAAACTGATGATGGAATGAACTGTTTTGTTTCCATCATCATCATCATCATCATCATCATCATCAAATAGCTGTGACTTATAGAAGACTTTTAAGTTACAAAGTGCTTTGTATATCTTTTTTCATTTGTTCCTCCCAACAAGCCTGGGTGGGGGTATTTTGTGGTATCGTTGGGAATAAGAGGGAGGGAGATTCAGACTTTGCAGCTAGGTGGCACAGTGAATAGTGTGTCAGGCCTGGATTCAGGAAGACTCATCTACCTGAGTTCAAATTTGGCCTCAGACACTTACTAAATATGTGACCCTGGGCAAGTCCCTTAACCCTGTTTGCCTCAGTTCCTCATGTGTAAAATGAGCTGGAAAAGGAAATGACAAACCACTCCAGCATCTTTGCCAAGAAAACCTTAATGGGGTCATGAAGAGTCTGTCACAACTGAACAACAAAAGATTCAGACTGGAACACGCTATTCAAAGAGCTGCTTAATGGATTTATCTCAGTCTAGAAGGAAGCCTGAGGAGTCTATGCCCTATCTTCTACAACATTTTCATAGGCATTGATGAAGAGAAAGAAATGATCAGATCTAGTGGGGATAGTTAATAGGTTAAATGAGAGAATTAAGACTTTAGAAGTTGGCAAGTTGGAGACAACTAGCCAAAATGCACAAGATGAAATTTCAGTGGGATGGGTAAATACGTTTAAGTTTAAAAAACAAATTCTACAAGTACAGAAAGAGCATACTTAGCTTAAGAATAGTTCATATTAAAAGGCTTTGAGGGCTGCAGTTGAATAAAAGCTCTCTGAGAGACAACAGTGAGATGTAGCTACTGAAAAAGCTAAGACCATGTGCAGAGTAGTAAATTTAGTTCTGTGCAGCCACTTTCAAAGAGAGACACTGACAAGTTCATCCAGAGATGATATGCTGAATTGTTGAAGAGACAGTATAGTAATTGTTTTTTAAGTAGTTGAAACACTTATAATATGGAAGAGGGATTAAATTTATTTTGTGTCCCTCCAGTTAGATTAATGAGTAGAAGGACAGGAAGGAAGGTTTCAGCTTAATGTAAAAACATTTACTAGTAGCTGTCGAAAAGAACAGAGATAGGTTGCCAAAAAGAAGTGAGCTGCCCATCGTGGGAGGTGTTCAAACAAAAATTGAATGGCTGGTCACCTGTCGGTAATGTTATAGGAAAGGATTCCTGTATTGTTTGACAGTTTGGATAAGTAATTTTTTGTATCAGGGAAGATCAGGAAAATGAAACAACGGGTTGTGTTTTTTTATATTTGTGTTTGATAAAATTTCCCCAAGGCTTGGGCTTACTTAATCTTCCATTTTCTCCTGATGAAAGCTTATTGTAGAGCACCTTAAAGTTAACCCAAAAGAAAGAATAAAGAAACAAGTAAATGATGTTCAGGTTTATGTTCCATTATCTTAAAAGTCGATTTTTCATGCCTTGGTACTACTAAATTGAAACATGCACCATGGCAAGCATCCTGTGCATCATACTGAAAGAACGAATGCAATGGAAACGACTCCCAAACTTCCAGTGTATGTGTGATGCATAGGACGCTGGCATTTCCCAGGACCACCCCAAAGGCTGATGAATCTGCTAGATCAGCCTCAGTTTTCCTTCACATCTGCATGGTAATTGATTGCTGGATCTGTCTGACCACGGTGCTCACGGAACGAACTGCTAACAGCCTCTGACCGTATCCCACCCAACGCATTCAATGCAATCCTCAACAGCTCTGCCAGACGAATAAAATGTTTTAGTACCTAAAGCTTTGTAGATGTAAGATACCTCCTCATAGGATGAGTCACCATCGGAGGGGAAAGGAAGGGGCATCTGCAGAGTAGCGTGTAACCACCCTTTCGTGCCAGTGTCTGGGGGGCTCGGAACCACCCGGGCCCGTGCACCCGGCCCTCCGCACCACCTGCCTGGCTCCCTGCCCCGGACAGATCAGCGCCGCCAAGTTGGCGAAGACGGACGGACAGAGGACACGGACACACAGACACACACGCACGCGCGCGCTCCAGATGAGCACTTACTCGCCCGCGGCCCGGACAGCTGCTGCAGGAGCGTGCGGGGGGCTCGGGCCGGGCCCGGGAAGCCCCGTCTGCGGCGGGCTGTGTTCATAGCTCTGGGTCGGGTCGGGCCGGGCCCCCGGGCCGAGCTCCCGATGCCAGCCGGGGCCAAGGGTCTGTCGGCGTCACGGGCGGAGAGGAGGGAGGGGGCGCCCAGCGGGGCAGGTGGGCAGGGAGCGAGCGAGCGCAGCAGCAGCTGCAGCTGCGGCCGATGGAGCCGCCGCTGCCTTCGCTGCCCCGGGCTCGGAGGGGCGGCTGCGGCTGGAGGACGGGGCGTCCTTCTGGCCGCACGGGCGCCGCCTCCAGCCCGGCCCGCTGTCCTCCCCGGCTCTCGCCTGGCGCAGGCGGCAGCGGCGCCGCAGCACAGGTGGCTCCTGCTCCGTGCGCTCCCGGAGCGCCCCAGCCAGCCGAGGCTCTGCAGCGCCCCCTGCTGGGCCGCGGCGGGGGCGGGCGGCCAGGGTCCTAGCCTGCGGAGCCCACAGCGAGCGCTGCTGCCGCCGCTGCCCCCGCTCGCTGCCCCCGCCGCTGGCCCGGCCTGGGCCACGTCAGCCTGGCTGCAGAGGCAGCTGACCGCAGAATTCGAGAACGCTTCCCGTCCCATCCACCTGGCATCCCACACCCTCGGTCCACCCACACCCACTGCAACAGGTGAGCCACACCCCTCCTCCCCATTACTTTGGAAGACAATTCTGGTGGCATAATGGATGAAGTAAGGAGGTCAGGAAAACCTGAGTTCGAGTCCTGAGTCAGACACTTACTGGCTGTGTGATCCTGACAAATCACTTAACTGTCAGCCTGTTTCCTCTTCTGTAAAAGAGGGCTAATAATGGCACCTACTTCAATGGGTGGCGTTGGATCAGATGAGAGAACACGTGAAACCCTTTATAAATATGAAAGTACTATGTAAACGCTAGTTACTGTTATCACTGCCAAGCCTGTCCTGGATGTAAACCCAGTGGCAGAGGGTGACCTTCTCAGGAGGAAGACGAGTAACCTTGAGGATTTGGAGTGTTCACTACTGTTCAATTAGATTCAATTCAACACACATTTATTAAACACCTACTACTACGTGCAAGGTGTAGAGACAGAACATGGTACAGAGGACAAAGAACTACATTTGGAGTCAGGGGGCCTGGGACACTTATTTTTCTGGGACCAAGTTTCTGTATGTATGAAATGGAGTAATCCCTAAGGCCTCTTTGAGCTCTCAATTTATAAACTTTTGATATAAAAATGAAAAAAGAAACCCTACCACTCTCAAGAAATTTATCATCTAATGGGATGCAGGGGAGAGGGCTTTATTTACATGACTAATAAAAAGGAGAATGGGGCAGAGCTCCAGATAAAGTACTCTGACAAATCTGAGGAGGGAGAGATCAGCTCCCTTTTGAGGAGAATGGGGAAGCAGGGCCAGAAGAGACTTATCTGAGGGAAGAGTTGGCCTTGGCCTAGGGAGAGACAACAGACAAGCAAATGGAGGGGGCATTCTTGACATAGAAGACACCTAAGCAAAGGTGCCAGGAGGTCTGACAAGAACTGGGGGTAGAGAATTGTTCAGTTTGGGACAAACGAATAAAGGCAGAAAGGTAGAATCAGAGGGTTAGAGCTGGAAGGGACCTTGGAAGGTCGTGTAGTATGACCCCTCTCTCTCCTCCTTCATGGTAACAGAGGATGAAACAGGCTCAACATTTGCCCAATATCACACACTCCAAGCTTTGGTACCACAGCGACGGAAACCTGTTTCCTCTGACTCAAATCCAGGATTCATTCCATGATATGACATCATGGCAGGTTGGAGCTAGACTGTCAGGTGTTTCAAATGTCAAGACTGGAATGTAGTGAAAAGCATTTATTAAGTCCTTACTATGTGCTAAGCCCTGTGCTAAGGAAATTTAAACTTTATTGGATAGGGAGTGTTAAATTATTGAAGGTTTGTGAGTAGAACAAACTCTGATCAGAGCAATGTATTAGGGAGAGTACTTGGATATCAGTGTGAAAGATGGACTGGAAAGTGATACTACAGGCAGGCTGCTGGAGTGGCTGGGGTGGAAGCAGAGGTGGCTTTGAAACATACCGAAAATCAATAGAATTTGGGAATTAATTGGCAGGGGTGTGAGAGGAAGGTGTTAAGGATGAAGTAGGGGTCAAAGATGATTCTAAGCCTGGATGACTAGGGTGTATAGTGGTAGTGTAACATACTAAGTCCTCCACAGGAAGAGAAGGCAGAAAAGGAAGGATTCCATGCCATGGCAAAGAAATTGCAGATGCTAGAAAAAACACAGAACCCCGGATGGGTTTTATATTAATGATAAACATTACTATATTTTCACCATGGCAAACAAGGACAAGTCCCCCCCCACACACACACACACTAATCCCCACAAAAGATCAGAAATCTTAAACCTATCTGGTTTTCAGGGCCAGCGTAAGTATCTATCCTCTCTACATGACCAGGTTGTAGCGCTGCTTTCCATCTAACAGGAATGGGACAACACAATAGGACAGAGACAGATAAGCAGAGTAGGGCACTTTGGTTCCATTTTGCAGGTTGGGGTCCAGGCCAGGGCAGGCCCAGTTTGACCTCAGGCGGTCCATGATACCATGGACCACAATCAGCTAAGGTCAACCCTCGAGGAAATCTGTGGTTCCAGAATTGATCTGGATGACCTGTAACCAAGCCAGGGAGGGTTTTAGGGCTACTGGAACTGAACCATTCTATTGCCCTAAGAGGCAGCATGGCATAGTATCAGGAAGATCCAAGTTTGAATCCTGCCACAAATAGTAGCTTTGTGAAGCGAGGCAAGTCAATTTATCCCTCAGTCTCAAGTTTCATCCTCTCTAAAACTGAGATATGGGCAGCTGGGTGGCGCAGTGGGCAGAGCGCCAGGACTGGAGTCAGGAGGACCTAAGTTCAAATCTGGCCTTAGACAGTTACTAGCTGTGAGACTTTGGGCAAGTCATTTAACCCTGTTTACCTCAGTTTTCTCATCTGTAAAATGAACTGAAGGAAATGGCAAACCCAGTATTTCTGCCAAGAAAACCCCAAATGGAGTCACCAAGAGTCAGACACAACCAAATACCACCACAAACTAAGATAATAGCACCTGCCTCCTTTTGCAAACCTTTAAATGCAATATAAGCCATCCATTTCTCAATTCTCCCCCGCCACCCCAATGTTTTCTTTCTCTCTCCTGTCCTCCCTGTCCACTTTTCCTTCTCTCATATGCCAGAGTTCTAGAGCACTAAGGAGAGATTACACCACTATAAGTCAACCAATAATCATTTATTAGTCACCCACTTTGTGTCTGTCGCTGTGCAGGGTGTTAGAGATACAGACAAAAAGGAACTAGCCCCTGTTCCCAAGGAGTCAGTCCAGCAGGAACACTGGCTAACCTAGGGTCATATTAGAAGAGGATCTATCTTTTTCCTCCTTTCTGCACAGCACCAGTCCTTTATGTCTAATAGCCATGGGAATGCAATATTTTTTTTAGCAACATTTCCTTCCCAATGTGTGTAACAGAAGTCGGCAGACAAGTCATTTGGCTGAAAACCTCAAACTTTTGTTCTACCTTTTGTTCTACTCCAGTGATGCAACAAGGCTGAGGATTTGATCTCGTGATTTACCTTGGCTCTCACTGCAAGTAAACAAAACATATGTGCTCTCATCTGTAGGGTTTAAATGCTTGAGAAAATTAATTTATCTTGCCCCTCTCTTCTTAAAAAAAAGACTGAAACATATTTTCCATTTGAGATATTTGACATTCTCATTTAAAAAAAAATCAAAGGTCAACAGAATTAATGCCCATCCCCCTCATCCTAAGAATTGTTTGCAGTGATCAGAAAACAGTACAGAAATTTGGCCTGACTCTCATTCTTCACAGTCAGTTAAAAAAAGAAGGGAAAGAGCCCCTACATCTTGAAGCAGAAGGTAACAGAGCAGAAGCTAACAAGCTCACTATGATGTAGCATGCATTCCCTTCAAAGTGCCAGCTTAGTGTGGTGGGAGGAGCAGGGGAAGGATGGTTGAAGACCCAGGTTCCTATCCTGTGTCTAGTGTTTTCCAGCTGTGTGACACAACCTTTTGGAGTTTCAGTTTCCTCATCTGTAAAATGAATATACTATTATATGCACTACTTACCTCACAAGGTCTGTTCTGAGAAAATCAATGTAACTTTAATAAGAGCGAATGGCTAAAGCCCCAAGAATGTTCTTTAAAATGTTCAGTCTTAAGAATTAAACAATTGTATAACTTTAGAGTTGGAAGGAACCTTAGCAATTACCTAGCCCAAACACCCTATTTTACAGATGAGAAAACTGAGGTTAGTTATAGGAACAAAGAACAGAAAAGGATAAAACCAGGCTTTGCAATGTTCAGTCTGGTGTTGGATTTACCCTGTTTGTGACCAAAGGGTGTACTTCAATGCCCCTTTCAGGTTTCAGCAGGTCATATCTGCACATGAAAGGGCAAGAACATGGTTACGCAGGTGGAAGAAATCATGGCCTTTTCCCTGCCCAGTCATTCACACTGGAGAACAGAATAGGTTTAAGATTAGAGGACTAAAGAAACCAGAATTGTAGAATGGTCAAGGAATTACTGGGTAATTAGCCCTTAAGTCTTTTATAGCTGAGGGTAGCAAGGTGGCACAGTGGACAGAACACTGGGCCTGGAGTCAGGAAGGCTCATCTTCTTCAGTTCAAATCTGAGTTCAGACACTTACTAGCTGTGTGACCCTGGGCAAGTCACTTAACCTTGTTTACCTCAGTTTCCTTATCTGTAAAATGAACTGGAGAAGGAAATGGCTAACCACTCCAGTATCTTTACCAAGAGAACCACAAATGGAGCCCCAAAGCATTGGACACAACTGAAACAGCTGAATGACAAAGAAAGCTCCTTCTCCTTTGTTTAGAAAGAATATGAGGGAATAGGTCAAAGTGGGATACAGAAGAGTGTTTGATTTAGGGGAATGGGAGGATAAGGGAAGGATCTTTGGAGCGGGGGTAGGTTATAGAAGGAAAGTAGAGGAGTCAGGAAGGATAGGAAATAAGAGATATGCACAAACAGAAAAACAAAGATTAGGGGTAGAATCTGTTAGGGAAAGCATATGTTTATATGTGTATGGATGGATGTATAAAGAAAGAAAATTACTTTTATTCTATTTTATGATTCATGATAGGAACTTTCTTCTTATTGTTTTCTTAAGCCTAGATGAACAAAGTTTAAAAAATAGATGGCTTATTAATAACTATTTCAGAAATTTAATATTTCTTTAAGATTCAAATTACTCAAATGGATCTGTGATCTCATCAATGAAGATGTTCCCTGCATAGATGCCACAATTTTGCCATCAGGCCTCTTCCTTGCTTTCTCTTGACATCAGAGGGTTCTCAATGGAGCCCATGGCCTACGTGGTGGTTATTCCCTACTTTCAACACATGACCAGTCTTGTACATCTATCTTCTTTGCAAAGAGGATCGTTCCTTATTTGTTAGGTGTCCCAGGTCGCTAACACCTATCATACATCTCTTCATTGCCTTCTGAGTGGTACTCATTTTTAATTCTTTGGAGACCATAGTGTTCCACAGCTTTCATCTAAACACCATCACTGGTAGGATACAAAAAAGGTGGGCCTTTCTCTTTGTGACACTTT